AACCAACCGAAGGAAGACCTTTCTCTCTGTCTCTCTCTCTCACTGTCTAACTCTGCCTGTCAAAAAAAAAAAAAGGATGCATGGATGGCCCAGATCAAGAAGAAAGAACTCACCCTTCCTCCACCCTTTTGTTCTACTCAGAGCTTCCGTGGATGAGGCCACTCAAGTTGATGAGAGTGGATTTTCTTTACTCTGTCCGATGACTCAAATGCTAATCTCTTCTGGTAACATCTTCATGGACACCCTGAAATAGCCCTGTGCCCTGTCAAGTTGGCACGTAGAGCTGTCCCTCAGTGTCCATGGCAGTTATGTAGGGAACCAGGTCTGTCATCTAAGGCATTTTCAGCTGTATTAATTGGTCCTGATTTTCACATTATCCTTGTGCCTGCTGTTAGGGCTCTCTGTTCCTTTAGGTAAATTCTCCAAGGACAAGGACCAAATACTCTTCTTCGTTTACATATTTTACGATTTCTTTTTTTTTTAAATTTTTTAATTAATTTATTTTTTTGACAGGCAGAGTGGACAGTGAGAGAGAGAGACAGAGAGAAAGGTCTTCCTTTGCCGTTGGTTCACCCTCCAATGGCCGCCACGGCTGGTGCGCTGCGGCCGGCGCACCGCGCTGATCCAATGGCAGGAGCCAGGTGCTTCTCCTGGTCTCCCATGGGGTGCAGGGCCCAAGCACTTGGGCCATCCTTCACTGCCTTCCCGGGCCACAGCAGAGAGCTGGCCTGGAAGAGGGGCAACTGGGACAGAATCCAGCACCCCAACCGGGACTAGAACCTAGTGTGCCGGCGCCGCAAGGCAGAGGATGAGCCTAGTGAGCCACGGCGCCGGCCCATATTTTACAATTTCTAATCTGATGATGTACACTCAAGGAGTCATTGTCAAAGCAGAAAATAACAAAGCATTGCATTAGCTTATAATTTTCTACTTTCTTCAGATTATGTGGAAAAAGTTCTTGAGTCACTTATACATAAAATGTTCAGAGTAAAGGGGATATTTAAATTCAAAATAAATATCAAAACAGCTTCTCCAAAAGTGAGATTATAGTCAGGAGTACTACAATACTTAAATTTTTTCAAAATTTTCAGTTTACAAATCATAAGAGAAATTTTAAAATAAGCCTAGAATTGTTCAAAGGCCTAAGTGTATCTTCTTTTACTTGTACTTTCTTAAATTATTTTTAAGTTAAATTTTGTTCATTATTTTATTCCTTCTAAAGACATAATTCACTGTAATAGTATATCTTTTTTGTTTTGCTGACATTTTTGAGGACCTAGCATATTTAGTCCTTGGACTAGGTGCAAAGCTTAAAAAACTAAAATACCTGATTTTGAGTCACTGCCACTAAAGATAAATCACTAAAGGAGATTTTAGGGAGAGAGAGGCGAGGTGATAAAGCAGAAAGCATAGTAGAGGTGACGTTTGGTTAGCCTTAACATATAAAGGGTGAGGATATGAGAAATTTGAAACTTTGTGTGCTGTTAGTGGAAATGTATAATGGTGTAGCTGCTGTGGAAAATGGTATTGCACTTTCTCCAAAAATTAAAATGTAATTACTGGGGTGAGCACTCTAGCATAGTGGATTAAGCCACTGCCTGCAGTGCCAGCATCCCGTATGGGCGCTGGTTTGAGACCTGGCTGCTCTACTTCCGATCCAGGTCTCTGCTGTGGCCTAGGAAAGCAGTGGAAGATGGTCCAAGTGCTTGGGCCCTGCACACACGTGGGATACCTGGAAGAAACTCCTGGCTCCTGGCTTTGGGTCAGCCTAGCTCCTGCCATTGCAGCTATTTGGGGAGTGAACCAGCAGATGGAAGCCACCCCCATCCCCCACCCCAGTCCTCTGGCCCTCTGGCTTTCTATAACTCTGCTTTTCAAATAAATAATTAAATCTTTATATATAATTACTGTACTATCCAGCAATCCCTCTTCTGGTTATATATTCAGAAGTACTAAAAGAAGGATCTTTAAGAATTTTACACATCCATGCTCATAGCAGCGCTATTCACACTAGCCAAGAGGTGGAAGCAACCCAAGTGTCCATCAACAGATGAAGGACAGTTACAATGTGATGTACACACATTCAGCCGGAAAAGACAGGACAAGCTGACACATGCCACAACATAGATGAATGTGGAGGACATTGTACTGAGTGAAATAAGCCAGTCACGAAAAGACAAATACTGTATGATCCCACTTGGATAAGGTATCTAGATTAGAGAATGCATAGACAGTGGGATGATAGTTTCCAGAAGTTAGACAAACGGAGAAATTAAGGAGTTCTTTGATGGGCATAGAGTTTCAGTTTTGCAAGATGAGAAAATTCTGGAGATTGGTTGCACAGCAATGTGAATATAGTTAACACTACTAAAGTGTTAATTAAGTTGGTAAATTTTGGGCTAGGTGTTGTAGCACGATGGATTAAGCTGCCCACATCCCATATTGGAGTGCCTATTTGTGTCCCAGTCTACTCCACTTCTTATCCCCCTCCCTGCTAATGCACCTGGGAAGCAGCAAATGATGGCTCAAGTAATTGAGTTTCTGACCCAAGTGGGAGACACCGATGGATTTCCTGGCTTCCAGCTTCAGCCTGGCCCATTCCTGGCTGTGTGGCCATTTGGGAGAGTAAACCAGTAAATGGAAGATTCTCTCTCTCTCTTTCTCTCTCTCTCTCTCTCTCTCTCTCTCTCTCTGTGTGTGTGTGTGTGTGTGTGTGTGTGTTAATCTGCCTTTCAAATAAGCACCTTTTTAAAAATATGAATTTTATACATATTGCATTTTTAAAACAATAATAAAAAATTAAAATGAGAGAAAAGAAAGCCAGGGCTATTTAACCCTTGTCCTGAAGAAGGACACCCTGGTTTTCACTATGAACCAAATCTGAGGTTCTGGATGTAACAGGATTGGGCTAGGAGTGCAGAATCTTGTTACCTGCACATTAGAATACAGTCACATGTTGCTTAAGGGCAAGGATGCATGCTGAGAAATGCGTTGTTGGGTATTTTTTTTCTTTTTTTTTTTTTTTCATGTGCGAACATCCTAGAATGTCTCCATACAAAACTAAGATGGCTACAGTGTCACTAGGCAATATAATCTGTGGGACCACTGTCCTACAGGCAGCCTGTCAGTGACCAAAACACTATTATGCCTAATGCAAGTGTGGCTGAAATTTACTTCAGGGTTGAATGAGCTCTTCCATGGAGACAGCAGAAAAACAATAAAGGGAAGGAAAGAGCCCCGGGTTCTAGTGTTTGAGGTTGGGTATTAGGCCAAGGCTCTGAAAAAGAGGAGCAGCGGCCAGAGAGAGGTAGACAGTGAGCATGGGTGAGGTGAGGCTCCCTCTGGTGGCCTTGCCCGGGGGTGGGGGTGGGGGGGCTGTGTTGGAGTAGTGGGGTGACTCTTCCATTGGTCCCATTGCACTCCCTTTCTCCACTCTAATGCAATCTAACATGACCTTCTCTCTGAGACCTTTGTTAGGAAAGCCTTTAAAGACAAATACATACCCAGCTAAGAGCGAGAACTTTGTTTGGCTACACCACAAACTATTATTTATAATATACATAATTAGTGAAAGTGTACAAAGTATAATATTGAGGGGGTGCATGTTCAAAAATATTGATGAGGTAAATAATCAAAGAAGTTTGAAAGTCAATAGTTAGACAGATTTGATACACAAAACCCTGTAAATATTGAGAACAAAACATCAAAGTTTATTAGCTATTTCTTAGCACAATATGACAAACTATCTGGCAAATAAACACCTGCAAGCAAAGCAGGGCCTCTTCACCTGTGGGTCGTGGCCTCCTGCGGGGGAGTCTGTGGAAATCTAGGCACAGTCTTGGCCAATGTTGTAGGAATGTTCTGGGGAAAGTGTGATTTTTATCAAGTTTTTGGTGGATTCTGTGATCTGATAAAAGTTCCATGTGCCAGAGCACATGGTGTGAAGATCCAGTAGTTTCGCTACCTTGATGGCACTTAAGTTAGGAGTGTAATTCCTCCTGTGGGCCGGTTGAGGACTTAATCAAAATTTATAGTATTTTTTTCTATGACAAGATATTAGCCAAATTCATGCAGATGAACTTGTTACTCAATGTGTTTTGGCTGAAGATTCGTAATGATTGCACTTCAAATTTCAGAGATTAGTTAACTGGTTAGAGGAAGACACAGACTGAGAATCAACCCAACAATCACAGATAATCTGACTAAAGAGAGTATCAACCTGTGTGTCATTTTCAGCACCTGTTCCACATCCCCTTACATTTTGAGTGTTAGAGAAGAAAGCACCTGGCTTTGTTTACTTAATCTCTGTATATCTCAGTTTCCTTATTTCTAAGCAATGTTTGTCAGATAATATATAATAAAACAAACTTTACAAACATAAAAATATGCCCATATTACCCATAGGCTTTTACATCATTGCTGCTAGTTCAGATTTCAGCCTTTTTCCCACGTATCTCCTGCGGGTATGAACATTTTTCTTATATTTAAGTTAAATAATTTTCACTGAGCTTATGTAGCTTGTAAATTTTCCAAATTCACCTGAAGAAAAAGCTGGTATCAATGTGCAGAAATCCACCCTCACATTTGGAGAGGCAGTCTGGAATACATATCTTATTGATGGCAGGAGGGGTTGGTATTCATACCTTAAGAAACTGGGGCAGGTGTGTGGTACAGCAGTTAAGTTGCAACCTGGGATGCTTGTATCCCATGTCAGTGTGCCTGGTTTGAGTCTCTGCTGCTCCACTTTCAGTCTGGCTTCCTGTTAATGCACACCCTGTGAGGCAGCAGATGGTGGTTCAAGTATTTGTGTGCCTGTCATTCATTTCTTGGCCCCTGGCTTCAACCTAGCCCATCCCTGGCTATTGTGAGCATTTTGGGGAGGGAACCAATGGATGGAAGATAGTTCGTTCGTTCTCTCTCTCTCTCTGCCTTTCAAACAAAATAAAACATCAACACAGTTGGTCATATTTTCTCAACACTCTTGCTATTATTACAAACAGAACTAAGGCCACATTTTAGCCTTGCATCTGAAAGTGACACTGCTGACCCAGAGGACTTGGATGTAGAAGATGACCACGAGGAACAGCCATCAAATCAAACTGTCCGAAGACCACAGGCTGCCACTGAAGATGCTGTGGCTACCTCAGGGGTGAGCACGCTCAGCTCTACTGTGTCCCACGATTCCCAGAGCGCTCACCGATCACTCACCTTGCAGCTTGGAAGGATGAAAATAGAAACAAATAGGTAAGTCTTGCCCCAACGTTCTCTTTTTTTTTCTTACTTTTATAAAAGTGCACGTTTTTATGGTCTCTTTTAATAAAAAAGTTTTGTCCATAGGTTAAAAAAATGGTGATTCCTTCATCTCATTTCTGTAAACTTGGTTTATGCCTTTCCTTAGGAAACAAGAGAGGTTTATTTTAGTTTCTATTGTCAAATACCACTTTCTGCCTCTACAGATCCAAGCCTCCTTCCGCACTGCTTATCTGCTGCCTTATCTCCAAGTGCACTGAGGTTTAACTTAGTTGTAACTTTGCAGATTGTCCTGGAAACAGATTCAGAGCAGCCTGTGCCTCTAACAGATAGCTGAAAGACACAACAGACAGCCCATGGCTGGGAATAGCAAGTTCTTCTAGGACAGGCAGCTCTCTGTGCTAACAGCAGACAAAACTAATGGTGCCAAAGCACTGTATTTGAGAGCCTTGCAAAGATGATCGTGTGACCACATTTATGATTCTATTATGTTCTCAGTATGCTATTATGCTATGACATATCTGGAGTTTAATTTGTTTTTGAGAATCTGGTAGCATAGTACCCACATGATCAGGTTCTTTTTTTTTTTTTAAAGATTTATCTATTTATTTGAAAGGCAGAGATAGACAGAGAGATCTTCCATCTACTGGTTCACTCCCCAAATGGCTGCAGCAGCCAGAGCAAGGCCAATCTGAAGCCAGGAGCCTGAAGCATCTTCCGGGTCTCCCGTGTGGTTGCAGGGCCCCAAGGACTAAGGCCATCGTCAGTGATTTCCCAGGCACATTAGCAGGAAGCTGGATCTGAAGTGGAGCAGCCAGGACTCCAACTGGTGCCCATATGGGATACTGGCACTGTAGGCAGCAGCTTTACCTGCTACGCCACAGCACCGGCCCCATGATCAGGTTTTTAAGTGCACAGCACATATCTCCTGACCTTCACAGATGTCGGAACAGTGCAAGGTCTGAATCTTGATGATTTATAGCTTCTTGTGCTGACTGCTGTTGACATACGGGCAATCGACTATGACTCTGGGTTTGCAGTGAAAACTTTTGTTTTTAGTGAATCAGTAAAAGGTATTCAAATATTTAGAAACCTTAGTTGAAAATTCTAGTTGTTCACCAGAGATTTTAAAAAAACGTTATTTCTAGGTATAGGTGTAGGTTTTTAAAGCTAGGCTCAAATACCAAACCTAGTACAAGTAGTACAAAGTTCATCCTATATTTAGAAACTTGAACTTCAGTTGCTCGATTAAGTAAATACATACTTATCCTCTATGATTTGCATACATAGATTTTTTTAATAAATGGAAATTGGCTCTCTGTGTCCTTATCCCAGGCATGTCCTCTGAAACTCAGCTGATTGCTTGCTAGCTCTACTACTTGGTGGAAAAGAGCTTGCATCTCTTCTCTTTCGAGTCTTCATCCAAATCTTGGTGTCTTTCCATTCTCCCCTCCTCCATCAGGAGTGCTGTGGCAACACTCCCTCAGTTACAGCAGGTGTTTTCTTTAGTCACTCTCTGTAGTCCCCTCTCTGTGGGCCAGTCCCAAGTGGAGGTGGTTTCTGAACACCCGTGCTGGCCTCTGGAGGAGGAAAATGGACTCCTGATGGTTGTGGTCCCTGGCTTCCCGGCCATGGCTCCCAGTGAGGATGATACAGACAGCAAAGCTAGGGTGTAGCCTTCTGCCCACACATCCTGGCTGTGTCAGGAAGACCTGCCTCACTGAATGCAGCCTGGATACATACTCTTTCCTTTCTCTTCTAGGCCCATTCGATGGGCCCTGTGCTAACCAGTCTGGTGCCGCCATGTGTCCAGCACGCTTAGGCCAGCTGTACTCTCCAAGGCTGCTGCCCTCCAGCACCTTCTTCACGTCTCCACAGTCCTCTTCTGAGTGCCTGCTTCTCAGATGTGCCAGCTCTGTGGACAAGACAGACTTGCTCATTGCTTTATCGCAGGAACTCATAGCTGCATTTTTTACAACAGCCCTCACTTCACATTTTGTTCTCTGCATTTTACATTGGAATCTGTGAAACCTGTGCGCTCACCGGCCTCCTCCTCTATTTTCAGCAGTATCTTCCATAGTAGCTCCATCACCCTCAGCAGAGTGAGATGAGTACGCTTGCTTCATGCATGTGTTGAAGAAAGGGCAGCTGCTTTGGTCCAAGCACTGAGTCCTTGTCATTTGCAGCTGAATATTACAACAAACCTAAGTATATATTTTGCAAAGTGAACTTAGAGGAAATGCTGGTGTGTTTTTAGGAAAGGTGCTAGCTTTTATGTAAAAAATCTTAAGCTTACAACATTCAGAATAATCAATGATAAAGTTAAATCAGGTTTATCTAGCTTTATTTTTTTAAATTTTTTTAAAAGACTTATATTTGAAAGGCAGGGTTACAGAGAGAGAGAGAGAAAGGGAGAAACAGAGAGAGAGATCTTCCATCTCATCCACTGGTTCACTGCCAAAATGGCAACAACAGCTGTGGCTGGGCCAGACTAAAGCCAGGAGCCAGGAGCTTCTTCCAGGTCTCCCACATGGGTTCAGGGAGCCTGAACACTTGGCAATAATCTGCTGCTTTCGCAGGTGCATTAACAGAGAGCTGGATTGGAAGTGGAGCAGCCAGCATTCCAACTGGTGCCCATGTGGGATACTGGCCTTGCAGGCAGTAGCTTTAGCCATTATGCCACAATGCCAGCCTCAATCTAGCTCTTGAGGAGACTAATAATATTCAATGGTAGAGTGCAAACAAAATAGATATTTTCCTTCTACTTCAGTATGTGCTTACATTAAATGATCTTAAAATTCACTCCTCACGGCCGGCGCCACAACTCACTTGGCTAAACCTCCGCCTGCGGCCCCAGAACCCCAGGTTCTAGTCCCGGTTGGAGCACCGGATTTTGTCCGGTTGCCCCTCTTCCAGGCCAGCTCTCTGCTGTGACCTGGGAGTGCAGTGGAGGATGGCCCAAGTGCTTGGGCCCTGCACCCACATGGGAGACCAGGAGGAAGCACCTGGCTCCTGGCTTTGGATCGGTGCAGTGCGCCAGCCGTAGTGGCCACTTGGAGGGTGAACCAATGGAAGGAAGACCTTTCTGTCTCTCTTTCTCTCTCACTGTCTAACTCTGCCTGTCAAAAAAAAAATTCACTCCTCACAAGGAGATTCAGGGATATTATTTAAACCTAACTCAAGAAGAGCTGACAAGTTATTCACCTTCCCTATCCTACAATTCTGGAATTTCCTACCCACTTCCTCACTATTCCCATCTGAGATGAAAAACTGATTTCATGACAGATTCTTGCCATTACTTTTTTGGGACACAAAAACAGACAGCTGCCTTGATTTCAAAATATTTCCCTACTAACAAAACACAAAGCAAAACTGAAATTGCTAGAGTGAATATGTCCTTAAGATAAACAATTTGAAGAGCTGCATGTGGGACAGATGAGGTAGCCTGTCAATACTGTGCTACTAATGTTGAGTTTTAACTTCTATTTATTTTTCAAAAGATTTATTCATTTACTTGAAAGACAGAATGACAGAAAGGATGAGATACAGAGAGAGATTCTTCCATACACTGGCTCATTCCTCCGAAGCCCACAAAAGCCAGGGCTCAGCTGGGTCGAAGCTAGGAACCACGAACTCCATCCACGTCTCCCATGCTGCTGGCAGGAACCCAAGTACTTAGGCCATCACCTGCTGCACTGCACCCCAAGTGCATTAGCAGGGAGTTGGACTGGAAGTGCAGAATCACTGGTACGCAAACTGGAACTCCAGCTTGGGAGACAGGCGTCCCAAGTGGCAGCTTAACCCTCTGTGCCACGGTGTCCACCCTAAGTTCTATCTTTTAAAGATAAAATGAAACTACATGGTATAGATGCACAGAGGTTAAATTCTACAGACTGTCACTGTGAGACAATAAGAAAATACCATTCCCGTTCCATGCATGTAAATTAGACAAAACTCCAGAGCAAACCGAAGACTTGCCCACATGCACATGCGCGCAGAGCTCGCTGTCCATTTCTCTGAATACCATGTGTGTTGGGGTAGAAGAGCCTCCCCCTCGCCTTCCACTTCCCCTCCTGCTGCTTATCCACCTTGTTTGCTCTGCAGTTGTCTTTGTGCACTTGTATTCTTCAAACCACCTTCTCTCATTGGGTTTGGCTTTTGTCTCACCACGACTAAGTGTTCTTCTCTGAGCCCTTCTCCTACTTAGGGGCCTCATCTTCATTTCCTTGGGCACGGCAGGGAGCCCAGGGTCAGGGAGGAACCCCTCCTGAGCCCTGGCAGGGCTCTTTGCCAGGGTATGCGGATGCCGCAGGGAATAGCAGAGTCCCTATGAATGCCAGGCACTGTGCTTGGCCCTTTAACCATGTTGTGTTATTTAATGCTCACTAATCCTTTCAGGAAGTCTGACTTTTCCTTTTTTTACAAACAAGAAAACTGAAGTCCAGAGGCATTAGGTAATTTGTCTAAGCCGAACATGGGAAGTACGAGTCTGAACCAGAACGCAAGCCCGGGCATCTTTGAGTTGCGCCATGCTGCCTTCCGAGCATGTCCACTGGAGCAGAAGTGAACGTCTGCGTGGAGTGTGCTCTTGAGTTAAATCTGTCAATACTCAGAAAAGGAAGCGAATACAGCTTTGGAAGAGCTGTCTTGATGATCTCATTCATAATTATATATTTTAAATTATTGTAATTCTGATTCCAAGTTACTCAGAGATAGTTCTCCATAAAAGCTCGATTATCTGTTTTCATAAGTTGGGATGTTTTCCTCTAAGAAACTGTTGGGAAAGGTGAGGTTATCAGTTGGCTCCCAGCAGCATGGTGAAACTTACAGTGTAGCAAACTTGGGATCAATACCATAGTATCTCCTTGTTTCTTTGGAGATTACATCACATGCCAAGTAGGAACCGAATATGCCAGGAACACAGACATCCTTTACCTGCTTGACTTCTCCCTTACGAGTAAGAGGAAGAATAGTGGTAACCACAACTGCAGCAACAACCAGTAGCATTTTTTTAGCATTTGCGAGGTGCCAGGTCTAAAGCTATTGCTCAGATTTTTAGTAGTTCAGCAAAAGTGATCACCGCTCTGCTTTGCGTGGATTATGATATACCTGTGTTTACCAACTCTTTAATTAGGGGCCACACGTGTAAAATAGGGATCCCTTGATATTCATACTTATATTTCTGATTCTTACCTTCATAAATAGAAAGAGTAGACCAACATCTCTGAGGATTTTGGCAGATGATCTGGGATGGAGGTTTTGAATTCATTCTGGAAGCAGAATCTTTCAGAACTTTATTACTTGACCTGGGGGGAGAGGCGGAGGAATTTGGGGCCTGCAGTGTCAGTATTACCTGGATGCTCATTAGACATGTGAGGTGTCAGGCCTCACCCAGAACTGGCTCAGAATGTGCTGGTGAAATCCCAGGCGTGTCTATGTTCCTTATAGCTTGAGAAGCCAAATCCAAAATCTCTGTGTGAGTGTTGTTACTCTGTCAACGTAATTTTTTTCTGCAGATTACTGGAAGAATTGGTTCAGAAAGAGAAAGAATTGCAAGCACTCCTTCTTCGAGCCATTGAAGAAAAAGACCAGGAAATTAAGCACCTGAAGCTTAAGTCCCAACCAATAGGTAAGTAGCAGAAACCTTTAAAGAAATACTATTCAGGCCATCAGGCAGTTTTCTTTCGTGGTTTAGTCAGCGTCAGTCATTTGTACCATGACTATAAGCAGGAATTACTTTAAAGAAAACATGTAATTTCTAAATGTAGCAAATGATCATTATTTATAAGTACAGTAAAATAGATGATTCATAGCCATCCCCTTCTGAGATTCTATATTATTGAGATAATAGAGCTCTTCACTTTTTTTAAAAAAAGATTTATTTATTTACCCAAAAGAGTTACACAGAAAGAGAGGCAGAGAGAGGGAGACAGAGAAAGAGAGAGGTCTTCTATTTGCTGGTTCACTCCCCAGATGGCCGCAACGCTGGAGCTGTGTCAATCCAAAGCCAGGAGCCAGGAGCTTCCTCCAGGTCGCCCACACGGGTGCAGGGGCCAAAGGACTTGGGCCTTCTGCTGCTGCTTTCCCAGGTCATAGCAGAGAACTGGATCAGAAGTGGAGCAGCCGGGACTCAAACCAATGCCTATATGGGATGCCTGCACCTCAGGTGGCGGCTTTACCCACTACACCACAGCGTCAGCACCCCCTCCACTTTTTTAGTGTTTTGTTTGTTTGTTTGTTTGTTTGTTTTTTACAGGCAGAGTGGACAGTGAGAGAGAGAGAGAGAGAAAGGTCTTCCTTTGCCGTTGGTTCACCCTCCAATGGCCACTGCAGCCGGCGTGCTGCAGCTGGTGCACTGCGCCTATCCAAAGGCAGGAGCCAGATGCTTCTCCTGGTCTCCCGTGGGGTGCAGGGCCCAAGGACTTGGGCCATCCTCCACTGCACTCCCTGGCCACAGCAGAGAGCTGGCCTGGAAGAGGGGCAACTGGGACAGAATCCGGTGCCCCGACCGGGACTAGAACCCGGTGTGCCGGCGCCACTAGGCGGAGGATTAGCCTATTGAGCCGCGGCACCGGCCAGTATTTGTTTCTTAAAGAGTTCACAGTGAGATTGCCAGGATAAAATACCTTTATTATAATTTTGTATTTTTATTCTGTTTATTCTGTCCTTTTTTTCTTGTAATTTGAAGAGGCTTAAATAAAGATACAATAATAAAAACTCAACACGTTGGAACTTTGGCGAAATCTATAAGAGACTGAAGGTAAAAGATAATCTATAGATAATCTTATTTGGCCAATTTAGATGAAAATAAATTTATAGTCATTTTTTAAGAAATATGGCTGTTCCATATCATCACAAAGAGTGATAAAAGACATAATAATTGCATGATTATCTTCTCAGTGTGTTCATCTTTGTTACACAAAAAACGAAGTATAATTTTGGTGCACACAGCTTAGGCTAAGAAACTATAGAGGCCTGTGCTGTGGTGCAGTGGGTTAAAGCCCTGGCTTGAAGTGTTGACAATCCATATGGGTGCCAGTTCAGGTCCTGGCTGCTCCACTTCAGATTCAGCTCTCTGCTATGGCCTGGGAAAGCAGCGGAAGATGGCCCCCGTCCTTGGGCCCCTGCACCCACATGGGAGACCAGGAAGAGGCTCCTGGCTCCTGGCTTCAGATCAGCTCAGCTCTGGCTGTTGCAATCATTTGGGGAATGAACCAGCAGATGGAAGACCTCTCTCTGTCTCTACCTCTCTCTGTAACTCTGTCTTTCAAATACATAAAATACATCTAAAAAAAAAAAAAAGAAACTATAAAACTGATATGAAAGCATAAAGTTGGGAGTATTATTAAAAATTTATTTTAGGCCGGCGCCGCGGCTCACTAGGCTAATCCTCCGCCTTGCGGCGCCGGCACACCGGGTTCTAGTCCCAGTCGGGGCACCGGATTCTGTCCCGGTTGCCCCTCTTCCAGGCCAGCCCTCTGCTGTGGCCAGGGAGTGCAGTGGAGGATGGCCCAGGTGCTTGGGCCCTGCACCCCATGGGAGACCAGGAAAAGCACCTGGCTCCTGGCTCCTGCCATCGGATCAGCGCGGTGCGCCGGCCGCATCGCGCTGGCCGCGGCGGCCATTGGAGGGTGAACCAACGGCAAAAGGAAGACCTTTCTCTCTGTCTCTCTCTCTCACTGTCCACTCTGCCTGTCAAAAAAAAAAAAAAATTTTATTTTATGTATTTGAAAGGCAGAGTTACAGAGAGGGAGAGAGTGCGAGCAAGCGAGAAGGATCTTCCATCCTCTGGTTCATTCCCCAAATGACCACAACAGCTGAAGCCAGGAGCCTGGAACTCCATCTGGGTCTCCCACATAGGTGGCAGGGGCGCAAGCAGTTGGGCCATCTTCTGCTGCTTTCTCAGGCACATCAGCAGGGAGCTGGATTGGAAATGCAGCACCAGCCCTCAAATCGTTGCCTGTATGAATGCTGGCGTTGCAGGTGCTGGTCTAACACACTGCGCCATGACACCAGCCCCATATTATATTATTGCTTCTGACCTTCCATTTACTAGATTACCTAGTCTGAATTTTGTTGTCATTTATACTGCTAATCTCAGTTGTCTCTGTTAACTATTCTCTAAGAAAAATCTTTTAATGTATCTTCAGTAAATGTCTGTTAATGACCTTTCGGTGAAGCTAAAAATATCCCTCCAAATTCTGTTCTAGATATTCCTGGGTTGCCTGCCTGTCATCTAAATTCTCCTGGCACAGATACTAAAGATTCTGAACTTACTGACTGGCTGAGAGAAAACGGAGCTGATGAAGACACTATAAGTCGGGTAAAGAAAACGATCTGTGGGACAAGTATTCTTTTCCTTCATTCATAGCACTGAGTACCTGCTGTGTTCCAGAAACCATTCTAGGCACAGGGGTGTGCTGGTGAGCAAATCAGACCCAGCCCTGGCCTCCTGGGGCTTACAGACTAGAACAGGCAGATGTTAAAACTAACCAGGTAATTCCACAGATAAAAATGTTACACCCTGGAAGGTTTCATGAAGCAAAGGTATGATGAGATAGGGTGAGAGAGAGGTTGGGGAAAGTTCTCCAAGAGGGTTATTATGAATGAGCTGAAGTCCAGCTGTGTGTTTGCCAGGCTAAGAACAGAGAAGGAGGAAAGATCCTTCCGGGCTGGGGGACAACATGTGCCAAGACAATGGGGAACGCAAAAGCTCTGTAGTTCAGAACCACTACGGATTGTTGTTTTTGAATTGAAGATAAAGACAAATGAGAAGAAATCAAGACAGACCTAAAAGGGGGGAAGGAGGATTCTTTCTAATTCTTTCGTTTGTTAAATAAATTTTCAAAAAAATTTTATATTTTCACTTTATTTGAAAGGTAGAGTAAGCACAGAAAGATCGAAATATCTTCCAGTCTGCTGATTCACTCTCCAAATGCCTCCTACAGCCAGGGCTGGGCCAGGGCAGAGCCAGGAGCCTGAACTCCACCCAGGTCTCCCATGTGGGTGGCATATTAGCAGGAAGCTGGGTTGGAAGGCAAGGATCTGGGACTGGAGTGCAGGCACTGTGATTAATGGATGTGGATATGCTAAGCAGTGTCTTAACTGCTACACCAAACACCCACCCCTGTCATATTTTTAATTTTCTTGCAACATTATTAGACTGCACTGGGCAGCAGCTATTTATCTACTTAAAATAGATTGAGTTGATGAACGTATGTTAGGAATATTTGCTGTACAAACCGTATTATATCTACAGTAACCAAATTCTTCTCTGTTCTTATAGATTTTGGTTTTATAGAAAGGGTCTCTTAGCACAATATCATATTGGTTTCAATTTTATATGTAATTTTTTTTTTTTTGATAGGCAGAGTGGACAGTGAGAGAGACAGAGAGAAAGGTCCTCCTTTTTGCCGTTGGTTCACCCTCCAATGGCTGCCGCGGCCAGCGCTCTGTGGCCGATGCATCATGCTAATCCGAAGCCATGAGCCAGGTGCTTCTCCTGGTCTCCCATGTGGGTGCAGGGCCCAAGCACTTGTGCCATCCTCCACTGCACTCCCGGGCCACAGCAGAGAGCTGGCCTGGAAGAGGGGCAACCGGGACAGAATCCGGTGCCCCAACCGGGACTAGAACCCGGTGTGCCGGCACTGCAAGGTGGAGGATTAGCCTATTGAGTCACGGCGCCGGTCAGTTTTATATGTAATTTTAAAAATAAGATATAATCCCTTGATTTGATAATTTATTGTTGACTAAATGAAATTTAGAGCCTCCTTAGAAATCTGCATTTACCCAGTTGCTGCTTAGTAAATTTAAACAGTTTTCTTGCCTGTAGAAAGCAATGCATCCAGTCAAGTTCTACAAAATATTTATCCTTCTAAATTGGACTCAAATCAAATTGTGGAGTAGTAATTGATGATCCATTAAATTATTGCCGTTTTTGTTTGCTTTAAGTTAAAAAGCTTCAGTTTAAATTCAGAGCTCTGATTTTGCAGTGAATTATAACAAAGTACCATGTATTGGCTGTGAAAAAAATAAGTTCAGATATTAAATGAAAGCAGTGCCTTTCTGGAAACACTCTAAATCCACTTGGAAAAAAAGAGCTACCTGACACCATACCTCTTACATATAAACATTTGTGAGTAGCAGTTGTGATTGCCAAGGAGTCTGCTCTGTGCATGAGAAAATCATTCAGAAATTTTCTGTCACATGTCATCTTTATGCACTTGAAATCATGTATGAATTTCTTTGTAATTCCTGTGTAATAGGGAGGTCTCTCTCCTAATAATTCGAGAAGATCATGTTTTCAGTGGTTTCCCTTTCACATTTACTTTTAATTGTTGTCAGTGTTTACATTATGAATGGAGTTTATTTACTAAAGGTATGCAAAATACACATTATATAAAATATATATTTTACTTTCTCTATACAGTTTTTGGCTGAGGAGTATACACTAGTGGATGTTCTCTACTCTGTTACACGCGAAGATTTAAAATGCCTGAGACTAAGGTAACACTTTTCTTTCTGTTATGTTGTCCACATGGAAAAAATACAAGGCTAAGACCAAGAAGTTTGGGTTCCTGGTGGTGTCTCACCAGCTCGGTGGTCCTGGCCAAAGCCATCTGGCTCTCTACCTGCTAGGAGTTAACTGAGGTAGTTGATGTTTTGGGATGCTTTCTATATTACCAAAGAACTTACTTAAATCATTTTCAAACTAAGACCACGCGGAACTCTAAAGCTGCCTTAAGCAAATGTTCTGATTCAGTCTGCAACTGTCTCCTACTTACTAGAAATATTAGGATGAGGTGCTGATAGGCCAGCCTCCCAAGATATGATACATTTTTTTGCAATAGTTTCCTCTAATACACCCCCTCTATAAAGACACATTTTTTAAAAAAGATTTATTTATTTATTTGAAAGTTAGAGTTACACAGAGAGGAGAGGCAGAGAGAGAGGTCTTCCATCCAATGGTTCACTCCCCAATTGGCCGCGCCCCTATAAAGACACATTTCAAGAAAGCTGAAAATCTCAAATGTTTTGGGACCTAGCAGTTGGTGGGAGTAGGAAGGAAATACCCAAGAATACATAAGGGAGATAAGGCTTTGGGATCTCCATGTTCTGACCAGGGCAGCTGAACTCTAAGGAATCATTTTTCTGTTCAAGGGCAATGTTTCAAATGCAGTGTTCTCCTTGCCATGTTCTTGTGTTTTTAAACAGGGGAGGGATGCTGTGCTCACTATGGAAGGCCATCATCGACTTCCGAGAAAAACACACTTGACCGTCGTCCAGTTTCATCGTTGCTGGAGAGCCTAAAAATTAATAAAGAACTGTATTTTTTTTTGGGGGGGGGGGTTGAAGCAAGAGAAGAAAGAAGCTGCACTTTAAATCCAGTATTTGTTTACTAATGTTAAAAAAATAGACAAAATACACTGAAATTTCCTAAATGTTTCTGTTTCTATGATTCTTACAGACTCTCAAAATAATCCTAATTAGAATTCTAACATTTAGGATTATTTTAGTCTAAACATTTTTTATGGTAATATTTCTAACTTAGCAGCTATTGCACTTCAGCCAGAGGTTTATTTCACACAAAACAGATCAAACATTTCATGTGATTGTGCACCACTGGAACAAAACCAAGATGTGACTATGATTTTTTTTAGGATTATGTGTTTGTAAGATGCCCTAATAATCTGAGTAGAATTGCATAATTTCAATTATTGTATAAAGTTGATGTGTTTTTTAAGTGTGTGCAGCAATGGTTTCTACTTATCTGTGTTACTTAAAATGTTGACTGTATTTTGTAACTTAAGTTTCTGTTCTGTATATCGTACATTTGTTTGAATTGTTGATGTACTACTGAACTGTACCAGTTGCACATGCCTGAATCATAGTAATGTTAGCTTGTTCTAAAGCTATCCATTGTGTCATATTTACTCTAAAAAGTAAAGAGACTCTGAACATACTGTTTGGATAAATTCTAAAGAATCATTATTTTGTGTTGGAAAATTAGATATATTACTGTGTTAAATTTGTAGTCATTTCTTCAGCTATAACAAATAGAATCTCTCATTTCTACAAGCAATCAAAGAATAACTGACACTCAGGGCCACAGAGGGTTAAGAAAGATGATGAAGAAAAAACAGAATGAAGGCAATTCAATGTATTTCCCTCAGGCCCCACGTTTTCTGGGATGGCTACTCTGTGTTTTAAGGGGTCTATAAAGAGCATTGTAACAAAGGACACTTCCTTTTCTGTTTCCTCAATTTTAGTTCTACTCATTTCAGGGAAATATTTTTAAGCTGAATATTTTATTTCTCTGAGCCTGCCCATTGGAAGAGGTCTGAAACTCAAAAGATAGGTGAATTACAATATCATGTTTTTTTACATTTTAAAAATTTATTTGAAAGGCAGAGAAACAGAAAAAGAGAGAGCGAGCTCCCATTCATTGGTTCATTCCCCAGAAGAACTTATAACTTACAACAGCCTGGGTTGGGCCAGGTTGAAGCCAGGAGGCAGGAACACATTCAGGTCTTCTGCACGGATGGCAGGAACTCAGTACTTGAGCCATCCCCACTGCCTCCCAGTGTGCAGTTGCAGGAAGCTAGAATCAGGCACAGAGCAGGGACACATGTGAAGGCACTCCAATGTATTATGCTTCCCAGTGGCATCTTAACCATTACTACAAAGTCCCACCCCAAATTCCAGAAACTATTATATAGACAGAAATAACATAGAGTTGTCTATGTATCATGATTTGACCCATAATAACAGTCTTTGATAAGACGGGAGCCATTTATTTTCTGTGTGAAAATCAAGTTACAATGTATTTTATATTGGGGCAGTACATCCTTAGGAATGTTTTCTTATTTGATAACTCGCAACACCTCTTTTTTTATTTTACATCCAAATTTGAAGGACATTTCCACATGCTGTGTAGAAATTTCAAAGGAAGTGAGATATAAATCCAGTAACATGTCATTTGATGCATACTGAAACATAGCATAACCACTTTATTAAGCTACGGTTTGTCTTGCCAATTCCAATAGCTAAGTGTTTCCTTTAGACTATATATATAGGCTCAAGCTACCCATTTCCAACCAGCTCTTCAATGATACAATCTTTCCTTGGGATCTCCCTCCTACCTTGTCTTTGTGGGCACATGCGCCTCTCTACCTATATGGTTCACAGGACACTCCCAGGCCAGCATCATCAGACTTCTGACAGACAGGGAGAAGGAAAGAGGGTGGGAGGGAGGAAGGGAATATCACTATGTTATTAGAATTGTATCTACAAATCACACTGACTGTTAAAAACTAAAATGAATATTGGATCTGAGTCCCAAAAGAAGGCAATTCTACAGGTCAAGGGTTACAAAATTTGCACTTGAAACGCTTGTATCATCAGTCCAGTTCTGGGATTCTCAACCCAGCCTCATGTTAAGTGACCTGCATGCCACCACCCCAGGAAAATGGTTGTTACTGGTCTGAGGTAGAGCCCAGACAGTCTTTATAAAACAGCTCCACAGGTGATTTATCATGATCAAGTCCCGACGTCATTGCAGGGGACACCTGGAAGGGAAACGGACAGCCCCTCCTAGAAGAGGAGAAATAGGATGCTCTTACCAGTTGTTGGTTAAATGCTGTACACGTAGGCCTGGAGCAGAACTGCCACTTATCCCCTTGGGCAAACCAGTTAACCCTGAGTCTGCTTCCTCATCTGTGAAATGGGAAAAATGGTCCTTCCTCATAGGGTTGTGCTAAAGAAGACAATGCAGGTTAGGTACTTAGTAGAACATTTAACAAAGAGTGAGCACTCTATGCCTGTACACCTGTTTGGTATCACTCATTCAAAGGTACGTATGAAATACTAACTGGGTAGTACATATTATGCTGTGTGAACGAGGCACAATTCTTGCCCTTTGAGTTCACTGTCAGAATCGAGACAAAGCAGACACAGCAGTGGTGTAGTAACTGCTACCGTGTCACCCAATTTCCAGAGATCTAGGAAAGCTTTCAGAGAAGTGAAGGTCCAGGGGAATCTGGGAAGATGGCAGGGTGGTGCTGGTGGCAGCATTTTAAGAGAAATTTACTAGGAGAAGTAGAACCAGAGGTTCCTTTTAACTGCATTTTGATCTCCAGCTCTGTCACTTTTTACCTACTCCCATAAAAGAGTTTGGCAATGAGGAGTTGTCAACACTTGAACGCCCATATGCATGAGGTGCTGTACAGCCAGCAAGCAAGAGTGATGCCTGCCAAGTTTAGAATACAGGCAGTGTGCATGATGTCACTGAGGACAGCTGTGAGCTGTGAACAAAACCAGCAAAGGGTAATGGCTGGTTCCGGGCTTCAGGAGTGCCTCATAGAGAAGCAGGAGACAAAGTTGCTGCCACTAAAAAGTGTCCATCAGATTGAACAGAAAGCTTTGTAGGCCATCATACCCAACCTATGTTAAAAGCTGGACAAATGGCAACCCAGAAACCGCTGAGTATATCATAGGTCGAGCCTGCTCGGAGCCAGGGCAGGTAGACCTTAACTTGGACCTTGCAGAGGACCAGGGAACTCACTCTGGGCAGAGCTCCGAGAACAAAGGCTAGAAAGCAAGACTTGAAAGATTTGGAGAAAGTAAACAACTCCTCTGGCTGGAAACCTGAGTTACAGAGAAAGTGGGACAGAGAGAGAGCTCAGGGACCAACTGGGGAGTGAGGGATGTGTGGAATGGGCTTAATCTTTTGTTATGTAGAAAGGGGGAACCAAAGAAGGGGCTTCAAAAGGATTATGGGCAATGCAATTAAAATATTTCCGATGAAAAAATTCTTGAAATACATGCATACAGGGGTCTTCTAAAAGTGTCTGCATATTATGAAAAAGCTGCAAATAGCAGGTATAACAATTCATGGAAAATGTGCATTCTGAAGAATGCATGAATTTCAGAACTTCCAGCAGCCAAACAAACTTGCCTTTTAATTCTAGTTTCTAAGAATGGGAATAGGAGAGGGAGGAGGAAGAAGGGTGCCAGTGTGGGTGGGAAGTCACTATGTTCCTAAAGTTGTATTTATGAAATGCATGAAGTTTGTATACCTTAAATAAAAGTTTTCTGCGAAAAAAAATTCTGTTTTCTGCAAACTTTTGGAAGCGCCTTTTGGACTTAGGAATAGCCTGGGTGGAATCAATGGCAGATGAGGCCTGTGAGAGAGTATCTGGTGACACTGAAGATCTCAGGGTAGTTTGGAAGGTAAGGCAACAAACAAGATGACAGAGCCAACCAAAGAAGAAAGAAAAATCAGGAGGAAGCAGAGAGAGGATCTAGTGCTACACAAAGTCCAGGGCAAAAATGGACTCAAAGTAATAGGAGGTTTGTGGCCTGGGAAGTATTTTTAAAGGGCAATGATGGAACCAGAGTCCACATTTTTTATTATGTTTGGTGAACAAAACACATAGATTTATAAAAAAAAAAAAAAACACGCAATAGATTAAGAAGGTAGGAAGTCAGGGAAGACATTTTCAGAATCAGGTCTGGCATGTGTTTGTTGGGAGAGACATTTATCAAGTGGGGAAAAGAGGACAAAGTGATGAAGGCGGTGGGAGGTCCGGAGGTGGCTGCCATGTTCCCAGTAGGTCACCCGCTCTCCACACTCACTCCCTAGCCTGCCCTGCTGCAGACCCTGCCTTACTTTAGGAACAGGCCCTATGTGAGGATTCTGGTGTATTCCTCATCCTTAATGTAAGTTATCAAAAGAATGGGAATACAGATAAGCACATACCAAACCAAACAAATACAAACCTCAGTATATATGGACTTTCACTCCTCAAATGACCATAACAGCCGGGGCTGGGCCAGGTGGAAGCCAGGAGCCTGGAACTCCATCAGGGCCTCCCACATGCAGGTGTGGAGCACTGAGGCTACCCTCTGGTGCAGTCCCATTAGCAGGGAGCTGGACAAGAAGTGGAACAACAGGCACCCACATGGGGCGCTGGTGTCCCAAGTGGCTGCTTACCCTCCTGCACCACAATGCCAGTCCCCCCCCCCCCCCCCCCGCCGCCACTGGTTTACTTAAGTGGGTAGTAAATCAGGAGGTTGAAAGTAAATCACCTTTTTTTTCTAGGGTTTTTCCAGACAGTTCAACCTCTTGGATTCAGCTAAGAGAGTCTGATGCTCCCCCCCCCCCAAAAAAAAGTTTAAAACTGATGACTGACTATAGTAAGAAATATGAATGTACTTTAGAAAATCCAAAGAAAGTTCACATTATCTCTGAATCTCACTTTCCCGTGAACTTTTTGAAGGCACCAAGTGTGCCCACCTGGTGCCGGTGCTTCCCTCTGGATTTGTGATCAGTAATGATCAGCTGACCTGTTCCATTGTAGAAATGGCACCATGGGAAACTCCATAACCACAGACCCGAGTCAAAGCCACAGCCTCTCCCTAGTCAGCCCGAAAACCAGTAACACCAAATAAAAACAGTCCGCTCCTGGGCTCCGAGTGGCAGGTTTGCACGCAAGGGTGGATGGCGAATCGGTCACAGCAAGAAATCCAACGCTGTTAACACAACACACCCGGCTGCCTGTCTGGAGAGAGCTTTGAACAGCTGAGAGCTCGCTGGGGCCGCTCTGCCAGCCGGGGTGTGGGAGTGCTGCTGCTCCATTTTGTTCTGCATGTTTCCATTTATGTAGGTTACTTATTTTTCCCCCTCAGCATTGTGGGGCTTATCATTTGTCTGTTAGGGCAAAAATTGGTTTCTTTTCAGCTCATAATCTGTTTCTTTAAAAAAAAATTTTTTTTTAAGTTGTTGTCTATCGCTCCTCTGAGCAAGCCAGAGGGTAGTTTACTGATCAGAAACCAAGAATAGGAAAAGGCACGCCGGTGTGAACACCTTTCACTAACTCGTGGACCGGATACAAAGGCAGGGTCGCCAGCAACTGGCATCCGGCCCGTGTCCTTCGGCTCCTCGGCGGCTGTGACCATGAACTCCAGGCCTCGCGAAGCCGTGGCTGACCTGGCGGCTTCACGGTTCAGAGCGGAAGAGGGCGTCCCCGTGTCCTCGCTTCATCTGGGCTGATCCTCGCACGGTCCTTCCTCCCAGGTCGGGGGGGTAGCGCAGCCAAGCCCGGCAGACGACGCCCACCGCCCCCGGACCCCCGGGAGGCGGCAGCGGCGGCCGGAAGCCGCGCGCTGAGGTGTCGTTTTCTCAGCCAGTGGTCGGGCGGAGCCGCTGC